GATTTTTTCGTTTAATCCATCATAAGAATTCCGTAAGATGTTAATTATTTTCTCAGGCACGCCGCAGTGTCGAGGAAGCCTCCATAGTGCTGTCCCGTCCATGCTATCAAATGCTTCCTCGTAGTCAATGAAGTTGATGTAGGGTGGTGAATTCCATTCAATTGGTTGTTCCACAATGATCCGTAATGTTGCGATTTGGTTGAAACACGATCGATTCTCACGGAATTCAGCTTGTTGGTCTCAAAGTTGATCGTCTACGGAATCCTTCATTCTGTCCAACAACACTGTGATGAAGACTTTTCCTGATATTGAGAGGAGAGTGATGTATCCGTAGTTATCACACTTTCTGAGATCGTCTTTCTTTTGTATCTTCATCAAGAGTCCCTGTTACCAGTCTGTTGGTACTTGTTCTCATCCCAAATCTTGCTGAAGAGAATGTCGAGTTTCTTCGCAATTACGGCTACGTTTGCTCCCAGTGCCTCTACTGGGATGCTGTCTGTTTGTGAAGATTTATCGCCCATGATTTATCTTATGGCCATTGTGATCTCTTCAACTGTTGATGGGCCAACAGTAGTTGGGAGGTCTGTCAGTGCTGCTTCAATGTTAGGTGGGTTCGGTGGGACCGGTCGATTCAAGAGTTCTTTAAAGTGCTCTACTTACCCTTTTCGCTGTTCTTTAAGGTTCATGATTAATTTATCTTCCTTGTTTTTCACTCTTCGTTCCGGTTCATGATAATTTCCAGAGAGCTGCTCTGTTGTATCACACAATTGTCTCATGTTTCCTTCACTTGCAATCTTTCTGCCATCACTGCTAGATCCTCCACGTATTTACTTTTGTCGGTTCTGATGCTCCTCTTCGCCTGCTTGTTTACTTCTGTGTATTCAGCTTGTGCCTTGATTTTATCGGCTTTTGTTTGGCTGATACTGATTGGTGTCTTCTTGTTCTTCCTTCTTGAATCATATTCAGTGCATCAACAGTGATCCATTCCTTGTGATGGTGCTCCCTGTGGCCCAGAACCTCATGACATTTTGAAGTGATTGCCTCTTCGTTCCCCTTCCAGTTGCTCTCCACAGTAGTTCCCTCTTTATTGGGTACATTGTGACAGGCCTGTAACGTATTGCTGAGGGATGCCATGAATTCGTTCAGTCTGTCAGTACCCCAAAGAAAAGCCGCATTAAACTTTCGTGATGTTGTCCACCCCGTTGTCCAGTTTCATCTTGGCAATCGACAAGTGATGAACTGATGCTATATCAGCTTCTCTCTTGGTTTTCACGTCCTTCATAGTCCTTCTGAACTTTTTATTGATGCAGATTTGGTTCTGCGTAATGTGATCCGGTGAAATCTATGTGGATTTGTTGATGCATTTATGTGGGAATATGGTGCTGCCTATGACCAGTGTGTTGGAGGCACATAGGTTTTCAAATCTCTCACCATTTTCGTTCCTATCTCATAGTCAGTCTATGTCGTCCTACGATGTCTTCATATCTGGTGTTGTTCATTCCAACCTTGGCATTTAGGTCTCCCATCAAAATGGTCAAGTACTTTTTTGGATATTTCTCGACGATTGACTGAAGCCTATCGCGGGATTGTTCTTTAATGTACTCATTGTAATCGTAGGTAGGCGCATAGCATTGGATGACGTTCATCGTAATGCCCTTTGATGATCCTGGGTCCACGAGATTCTAATGCTATAAGTGGTTTTTTGTTTATTTCGATAGGATCAGAACAACTTCCTGTGTATTCGAAGCATTTTCTTCTTCGTTGCACGGGTATAATGGCAGCACGCCTGACGCTAGTTTTTGTTGTCCAACCTCCTCCCAGTATGTTTCACTGGTTTTAAGCACCTTCAGGCTGTATGTTTTCACTTCTGAGGCAATTTGCATGACTCTGCCGGTCCCCTACATTGTACAAAAGTTTCATGTACGTAAATTAATGGTTTCTCTGATTGTCAGAATGGGCATCAGCCTCGTGACGTTCGAAGGGACTCGGCTTTCACCATGAGGCGTTATAACTCTTTTAAGTGAAGGCCTTCTAACTATCGAGGCAGAGTTTCAATGGTTTGACTTATTTTTCTGGTTAGTTAGTGTTCTACCTGGTGGGGTCGCTAACCTCATGCCTAACACCCTCCCTTATCCGAACTTGGGATCGTCAGTGACCCAAGAGAGGCTCCAAGCGGAATTTGGAGTTAGGTCTAAGTTGATATTTTTAGGAGGATGGACACCACATACATTGGGATCACTTTCTTCCGGGTTTTGATCTTTAAGAGATTCAGGATATTTTCAATGGTTAAGATCATGAGTCAATTGAAGCTAGACCACCATGGAAAACCTGGAGGCACTGGACGGCTGTTTCGTCCTATTGTGAGAATCCTCAGCAGTGCGCGTCCACGAACTCGCCCCCTGCGAGATTCGAACCCAGGACCTACTGGTTTCGCGCGACAGAGTACTCAACCACTAGGCCACTGAACGGGCATCCAACAGTGTCAATGTCTAACTTCAACTAATCCACGAAATTGAGCGACACATCCACCGTTGTCTTCAGTGAGTTGCTATCTGACAACAGATCTGAGCTCCAGTGGTCACTACTTCTCACTAGAGCTCCAGGATATACCTCTTGAAGCCGGTCACTAGTGAGTGTATGTTGATTAATATCAGATGGATTTTGTGGATATTATAGTAATTTCAGTGGTTAAGATCATGAGTCAGGATAGTTTATCGGTGGTCGTACATTTGTAAAGCCAGAGGTCTTTTTGGAATCGGTCTCAATTTTATGACCTTTGTGACTATGATGCGTTTGGGAGTTTGATGCTAGTTGTCTGTGATTAGCTCTTCCTGCATTTTGTTGACATGGTGTTCTGTCTGGAAGAATCTTATAATCCTTGAAAAGCTGTTTTGTCTCATTGAATTAGAGAAAGTCAGAGACTCACTGGCGTCAGCAGACGAGTTGAATTTGATTAGAATCGGTGGGCACACACCAGGGTGACTTCTTTTTAATCCTGTGCACACACATTGTACTTGTGTCATCTCGCTGGCTCTAAGCAGGTTAGACTTGGTATTATTAAGGGCATATGTTGTCTAGGTGGAGTATAATTTATGGACGATGACTGCGCGACGTCAGCGTGACCTTGAGAGTGTCTACCTACTTACTAGGACAAAATGAGTGTTATGAAGCAATTGAAGAATAAGGATTATTAGGGTTAGTAATTAGATTTGTGGTTTTTCATCACGAACTGATATTAGCTAAAATGCAAAGAAGCTATTTAAACATATAGATGAGTGAGCTTCGTGCCAAAGTCCGAGACTTTTTACTCTAGATCTGATTGGTTCGTCCATAAATTATAATCTCGCCGATCATCATATCCTTTAAAACACCTCTGAAGCAACACGATATGGAAAACTATTTGTCATTCATCTGATCTGGAATTTATGAGAGGTCGGGGTTGACGAGGTACTTAAGGGGATTGAGAATGTTTATGCCGACTCGCAAATTTCTTATATCATCCATAGGGTTACAGTAGTGATTATCATCATTATTTACCAATAGAATCTTCAGGATGTATGGAATGGAGAGAGCTGGCATAAACGCGTCTGCTTCTGGATGAACGGGGTAGCTCGTCTCGTTGAAACTACCAGAAATCGTGTCAGCATTCGTATTATATAGTGTCTTTTTCCCACGTTTGGCTGGACGCCTATAAACAGAGGCCTTTCTTTTCTTTTGTGACATGATAAGAAAGTTATAAGTAGCAGGTGGACTGAACAAAATGTCAGAAATAGAAATGGGTGAAAAAATCAAGGCCGAGGGCTGAAGATAGCTTAGAAATCAAGACCTCTGTTTGAAACAAGAGTGAATGTATTGTGAGTATTAGTAAAGGTGTCAAAAACAAGAGGGGAGAATGGCAGGAAGATTTTATTAGAGATGTAGAATGTGTGTCAGTACATTTGTGGAGGCAAAATAGGACATGAACGTGCAGATTGGGTCAATTTTAACATGTATATTACGCGGAAAGATAATCTTATATAATGAAGCAATCTGGAACTGTCGATATATAGTATAAAATAATAAAAGTGGGTACGGTATGTGGTACATATAAAAACTGAAGGCCAGCATTGATTAAAATTGGGGGTAGTGGCGCAGACGTATGTAGTTTCAAAGACGAATATCATCTAGAATTATTATGATGCTTTGTGACCACATACATGAAACAGCCTTTTAGATGCTTTATGGGCACAGTATAACCTGTTTGTTGGATTTATTGCCTCTTTTACCTGCGTTTTCACCCTTCCTTAAGTCGATTCTGTGAGTTGGAAGATTTTCCTGCGATCCATCCATGTTAATATCTTGAAGAGTGTATGAATGTAATTCTGCAGTACTGCCTTACTAGCGGCACAAAGCCTCTTCGGTTTTTAAGAAGGGTCAATGTGACACAACTCTCAACACACCTATTTTACTCTGGTGTGGGACTGGCAGTAACTGTGTACAGGTTCCAGGTGGAATTGCAGAACGATATAAGAACCATGTAGTTCATTTGATGCCAATGAGTCCTAGATATTGTAAATACTCCGTGTAGCGTTTCGTAACCTGAATGAAAACGTGTCCAGAATATTGTGCAATGTGTATGTAAGACTGTATCTGACATGCAGGTCGAGACGTCCTAACCTAATTCCAATACTTGACAGTAGGTTAAGTTCTAATGTGATGATAGTTTACTTCGACGAACTGATAACCTTTGGTTACACCAATAGTTCTATTTCTCCTCCATTTATGAACAGTAATCTAAGAACATATTCTTAGAAAGTTCGAAAACCAAAATGAAGTTAGTGTCTGGGGATTGGTTTTCTTATTTATACATGAATTACTCTAGTTCTTAGATAGAATAGGTTCTATTCACAGGTTTTGTTAATAAATCTAAACAAAGGTTTAATATTTATAGTTATGTCATCTGTGAGCAGTAACATAGGTTACTCAACCTTATATTTTTGCTCGTAGACATTATCCACTGAGTTTTTGGCGCTTGCTTGACTTGGTGCGGTGTTGTTGCAGATGGTTTTGCGATTTCGAATTCTCATTTAAGGTTTAAATATGTTGCAAATTACACATATTTCTTACAAAACAGTTGATTTTGGAGCGATCGGGTTTGTTGACCGAGAATTTTAGGTTCGATGATCATATACACACCCATGCCTTGCTGTCCGCTTGGAACATCTGTATTTGACGTCTCTTACCTTGCCAGTACTACCACCATCACCACTGTCCTTGTTGTTTGTATTAATATAATAAGCTCATCTCGATTCGCCTCCCTCTGTCATTCTTGGACATCTGTTCACATCTTTTTCATGTACCATTCTGACCGTTATTTTCTCTCCTCAATATTCAGTTTTATAATCTCTCATTTTACAACTCAATCTCCTGTACGTCGACATGATATTCCATTCTCTTAGCAACCTGAATGTTACAGAACAAACTCACTAATTTATATTCAAGTGCTATTCCTCTTGTATGTAAATGACCTTTCTCGTCTCCTATCATCATCGGTCTTGCTATATGCTGATGATGTCAAGATATGGAGAACGATACGATGTAAGAGTGATAGCTTAGAACTTCAAAATGACCTGAAAAAGTTATCTGAATAGTTTCAAACCTGGCAGTTGCCGATAAATACTTCCAAGTGTGTTGTGACACATATTGGTCATCAAGGTACAGATACATACATGATGAATAACACTGAGCTACCTGTCGTCCAGACATATAATGACTTAGGAGTTATCGTTAGCAAAGACCTAATGACTACTGCACACTGCCGTGCAGTAGCCGCCGAAGGTCTTAGAACCTTATGGTCAGTGTGTAAAGCTTTTAGTCATGTCGACGCCAAGACGTTTTTGACTTTGTACACAGTTTTCGTACGTCCTAAACTTGAGTACTGCATACAAGCGGCCAGCCCCTGCTTAAAAAAAGAAAGTGAGCTTCTGGAAAAGGTTCAGAGAACGGCGACTAAGCTGATTCCCGGAATAGCGAAGCTTCCGTGTGAAGCTCGACTGGCCAAGCTAAATCTTTTCCCGTTGTCATATCGCAGAAGTAGAGGCGACTTGATTACAGTATTCAAATTGCTTAGTGATAAATTTGCACCTGATATGCCCTCATTTTTCTTGTCTTCCAAAACAGATAATTTACGAGGACACCAAAAAAGTTCACAAGCCCAGAACAAATTACTTGTCAGCTGACTACCGACTTTCCCACCGAATCATCAACGAGTGGAATTCATTACCTCAGCACGTGGTTAAGGCTCCATCCGTCGACTCTCAAAAGAAAGTTGAATCAACTGAGAGACCACCATTGCCAGGACTAACACAGGCCATCAAGCCTCCTATCCTTCCCAAACTGAAACTTAAGCAGCTCTCCAATTCATTAGGGTTAGTACTGTTTAGCTGCTAGACTACCCACATTGTACCATACTGAATCCTAAAACCGTATCTTAACATAAAGAAGCGTTCCTGAGTACCAATCCATTAACACAAGTTCGTCATGTTGGAAGTCCACTCTCAAACCCCATGTGGGATATATGTAGGCTATAATGTGAAATAAAGCTCACCATTGCAGTTGAGCCTTACCTTCACAAACGATGGTTAATCTATGATCGCTCCAATTTCGTACTTCGTGTATATCGCGCAATTTCGTTTTTCTCATACTGTGAACTCGTTTTTGAGTCGTTGTAGTTTTGGCTCACTCAGATCACTTTCACTTCATAATACCATGTAACTAAACCTACTATACCTCATAAACCTCAAAATACCTTCGCACTTTCTTTCGATTTTTCTCCGACTCTCTGGGATGCTAAGTATGTCTTCCTCTCGGTTGGCCACTTATAGTTTTTGTGTCGCTTATTTTTAGCATAATAATATAGTGTATATTCTCATAAAATCAACTCAATTTGTGTGCGTAAATTAGTTTTATGGGAAATAGACTCTTTGATGTTGTGATAGATTTGGTCGCACACTGAGTAAGTAGATTGTAGTAACATTTTCAAAGCGACTAAAGTATTTTCGAATTTCTAGGATCTCTATGTGCATCGCATTTCCCAACTGGTACGTAAGTATTCTGACATAAATTTCTACACATACGTACTCCTGGTGTTATAGTCCTTATTTCTGTGTACATGTCGATATATCCCGATATTTTGATATGAATGTTGGGCTCTTGAGTGTTTTTTTTCATACACACCATTCGATGGTGCTAATTATTGCTGACAAGTAAATTTTTCAGTTAACCTGATACTGGCTAAGTATGCTGTCTGAAGCCGTCAGTTTCAAAAACAATGAGTGGTTGCTCTGCAACTATCAAAATGCGCGATAATATTCAGAGTAGTCCAATTACATGTTCACAGAAAAACTAACTGGGGTACATTGGCTGTTTTCATTGTTGTTTCAGCTTCAGTTTTGAAAGGACAAGAGGCTTGATTGTCTGTGTCAGTCCTGGTACTCGTCTCGTGACAGTCACTTTATTGACATTTCCTCGACTGAGTAAGCAAACTTATTACTCCTTATTGAATGAAATGAATAATTAATGACAACTAAGTCTACAACATTAGCGAGTAAGGAAATATATGTTTATATATACATATGTAAGATCAATTTACAATTTAGTACCACTTATCGAGAGTCGCATATATACATATAAAGTTTCTGTTGTTGATAGATATGACACTTCAGACCAATTTCTTTTATCTCTAGAAGGATTCAATATGACCCAAAGGATTACTTCATGTACTGTTTCCGAAGTACCTGAACGTTTATGCACTTCTTCCATGGACGCACTACGAATCTCACCGTTTACTGATACGCTTTCCAACAAAACTGGCGATGTATGCAGAATAGAGCACACTCAGTTCGGTGAAGTTTATATTTGTAGAGTGTGTAATGTGAAATGCACCGGTAAGGCGCCATTTTCCCAGCATATATCTGGATCACATCATAGAAAAAACTGCAATGCCAGTAAGCTCCTCACTTCACATTAATAATAACTATTGTTGCTATAGATACCTATTTCTGTAACGAGTGCAATACAAGCCTTAATTCTTCTGAACAATATACCCTACATTGCAGTGGATCAAAGCATATGCGAAATATAATTTCTTCTTCTGACAATTCTATGTCTGAACAGTTTGGAGTTGAGCAACAATTCAATAAAAGCAATAATGTTCCTTACTTCTGTATACCTTGTGGTCTTAGTTGCTCTTCCAAAGAGCAATTGGATTCTCATTTCTTAGGTAAAAAACATAAGAAGCAATGTAAAAAATATAAGCCATCTGTATCAGGTCAGCTGTCGGGGTACGTTTTGAATGAACAGTCAAATCAACCGATTGGTCAACCTGACTTTTTCTCTTCAATGCCTACTTTATTCAATACAGCTAGTGAGAATTCGCCAAACTTTTGGTTTCCAAAGTTGGTTCCTTGTATAAGAAATATCATAGAGCTGGAGTCCAAATTGACATTAACAAATAACTTTTCTCCGTTTTTGGCTTCAGTCACTCCCTGTTCATATCAAGAACGAACAGATTCAAAGAGTGATCTTTCACCCAATCAGCAGGATAGTGGCGACTCTTCTGAGCCCAAACAGTTTTGTAGACACGGTGAATGTATTCTGATGAGGTCATTACAGGTAAGAAAAAATTGATAGTAATTTGTGTTATAAATTTGACTGTTTATTTTGGAACGTTTATTATTAGTATGAGTAAATTATCAGATACATTTGATTATTGTTCACATTATTCGATCGTAACACGTGTTTGGTGCAGAAAGTACCAAGAAATGTACTACACAGTTTGGCAATAATTTAGATGAGTTAACAAATACATAAACATTTGTTTAATACAATTATGAGAGATATTAGTGTACAACCTCAGTAGGAACAACCAAAATACGATGTTTTTGCTTAAAAACAGATGTTATTAAAAACACAAAAGAGACCTACGGTAGGAATACCACGGGCTTTTCTAAACCTTGTGATAATATATGTAGTCGTTGTTATTTACTATCTTTGGATTTCACCTACAGAACCCTAATGACCCGAAAAATGCTAACATACAGCGAATAGTCTTCATTTATCTACGTCTCCATTAGCTGGTAGTCTCTTTATTTCAACCCCCCTCTAACGTTTGAGGTGACATATGTAAAGCAATTGTGCCACACGGACTTCTAGACCGTTTCCAACGGTGCATGAGAGCTAAGAATACCACTATTCTTTTGGGAGTACTGTGCATTTCGGTTGTTTAAGGTAAATACCATACTGACAAACATTGATTAACAACTGATGCTGCTTGGTTAGCCTGTATTGCATCGCAAAGTAAAACGGCGTCATCCGCATACTGATTGTCAAGATGTCTTTGTCCAGGTATAAGATCTGCACTACATTATCGCATTGCACTCAAAGTTTATTATCACTGAAGTCAAAGAGAAATACTGAGATGAGATGATCCTATCCAATCCTACTGTCGGATAGAAACATCGAAGCAAGATTATTCTGTGCCTTCACTCTGTCTGAAGTGATTTCCAAACGGGCTTGAATACTAAGGTTGCATCTCAGATACATTCTGCAACAACCGGTTTTTAAACAATCATATCAAAAGCAGCTCTATTGTCTGGAAATAACGATGATTAGTCTTCAGTGCTTTTGATAGTGTTCAAGTCACGACACGTCGGTATTTGTTTCAGCTCCGTATATGAGGACTGTCTTGACGTTTGTATTAAAAAATCTGACTTTGGTGTTGGCTGACAGTTGCTTTGAGTTTAAGATGGTCTAAAACTGGAAATGTTTCCCTTGCTATGCCAATCTGTGCCTTCACATCTGCACCAGATCCTCTTTGTTTATCAATCATGCTGCCTAGGTACCTAAAAGTTTCCACCTGATCCAGGGCTTCTTCATGTATTGTGATTTGGTTGGTACTGTATGTGTCATATTTTGGGATCTTGCTTTTTCCCTTTCCATATTTCTAACACACTATGTAGCACTAATATTCCGATAATTATCACATGTATTATACATGCTGGATGGATCAGAAATATATCAATAAGAAACCTTTGAGTTCGACTCAATAAGGTAAAGGTCAAGAATATATGCCAGGAACAACTAGTGGGGTTGGTCAACCTTGAAAGTAATGTCCAACCTGAGGTAGCTTGATATGATATCCAAACAACTATGGAAGCACCTTAACTAAAAGGTTAAGAAAAATCAGTGAACTTTAGCGGCCTCTTCTGATATATACCTATTAACTCATCCCATCTGCCTCCAAACACAGTGATGGGCAGAGCCAGCTTTAACACCGGCTGATAAAAAGGATACACAATATTCATGGGGAGTGGTGGGCAACGAAAGCAAAAGAGGTAGGAAAGACAGCGTCGATAGGTAACAGCAGAACATTATTCACCCTTAATCCAGGAGGTTGGACCGATGGGCATAACGCTTTAGGGAACAGTCCAACTAGCCTTCGACCGCACCCACCTCTAAATAACTTGAGTGAAAAATTGATGTCAGTCCTCTAACTCTTAGTGAGGTTGAAACGAATATTACTTACGCCTGTTACTCCTTGTGAAGAAGCATAGGCCGCTCACCAACATTCTCCATTCAACCCTGTCCTGGGCAATCCTTTCCAGCTCCTTCCAGTTCCTATTGATGCTTTTCATATCTGCTTCTATTTCCCGACGTAATTTGTTCTTTGGCCTTCCTCTTTTCCGCTTCCCTTCAGGATTGCAAGTTAGGGCTTGTCTTGTGATGCAGTTTGACGATTTGCGTAATGTATGTCCTATCCATTTCCATAGTCTTTTTCTAATTTCCTCTTTAGCTGGAAGCTAGTTTGTTCTCTCCCACAAAAAGCTGTTGCTGATAGTATTCGGCCAATGGATGTTGAGTGTCTTGCGAAGACAGCTGTTTATAAATACTTGTACCTTCTTGATGGTGGTTGTTGTAGTTCTCCAAGTTTCAGCTTCGTACAGTAGAACCGCCTTGACGTTCGTATTGAAGATTCTGACTTTGATATTGGTTGAAAGCTGTTTTGAGTTCCATATGTTCTTCAATTGTAGGAATGCAGCCCTTGCTTTGCCAATCCTCGCCTTTACGTCTGCATCTGGACCTCCTTGTTCATCGATGGTGCCTCCCAGGTATGTGAAGGATTCTACGTCTTCCAGAGTTTCACCATCAAGTGTGACTGGATTGCTGTTCTCCGTGTTATATTTGAGGACCTTGGTTTTCCCCTTGTGTATGTTGAGGCCTAATGATGCATAGACTGCTGCTTCACTGGCTGTCTTTATCTGCATTTGTTCGTGTGTATGGGATAGGAGGGCTAGGTCATGTGCGAAGTCCAAATCGTCCAATTTGTTCTGAGTTGTCCATTGTATTCCGTGTTTTCCTTCAGATGTCGAGGTCTTCATAATCCAGTCGACCACCAGAAGAAAGAGGAAGGGAGAGAGTAAACAGCCTTGTCTGACTCCAGTCCTTACTTGGAATGCATCTGTCAGCTGTCCTCCATGCACTACTTTGCACTGTAGTCCGTCGTATGAGTTCTGGATAATGTTGGCAATCTTCTCAGGAACTCCGTAGTGTCGAAGAAGTTTCCATAATGTCCTCCTATCTACACTGTCGAATGCCTTTTCATAATCAATGAAGTTGATGTACAGTGACGAGTTCCACTCAACTGATTGTTCGACGATGATCCGTAGTGTTGCAATTTGGTCTGTGCACGACCGATCCTTACGGAATCCAGCTTGTTGGTCTCGAGGTTGGATGTCTACTGCGTCTTTCATCCGGTTCAACAACACTCTGTTAAAGACTTTCCCTAGTACTGACATTAGGGTAATGCCTCTGTGGTTTTCACATTTGCTCAGATCTTTCTTTGGAATATTGATGAGGTGTCCTTCTTTCCAGTCCGTCGGCGCTTGTTCCTCCTCCTAAATCTTTTTGAATAGAAGGTGAAGCATGTTTGTTGTTGCTTCTATGTCTGGCTTCAGCTGGTATGTTGTCGGGTCCTGCTGCTTTCCCGCTTTTGATTTGTCTGGTGGCCATTCTGATTTCTTCAGTCGTTGGTGGATTGACATCTATAGGAAGCTCTGTGTGTGCTGCTTCGATGTCTGGTGGATTCATTGGAGCCGGCCTATTTAGGAGTTCCTCGAAGTATTCTACCCATCTGTTACGCTGTTGTTGAGTTTCGGTGATTGGCCTGCCTTCTTTGTCCTTGACCGATCTCTCTGGTTTACTGTATTTCCCTGATAGTTTCTTCGTTGTATCGTGAAGCTGTTTCATATTTCCTTCTCTAGCAGCTTTTTCTGCCGTCGTTGCTAGTTCTTCCACGTATTTCTTCTTGTCTGCTTTAATGCTCTTCTTCACTTGCTTTTTTGCTTCGATGTACTCAGCTTGTGCTTGGACTTTCTCTGCTCATGTTCGGCTGTTGTTAATTGCTGTCTTCTTCTTCTTCTTCCTTTCCTTGATCCAGTGTTTCTATAAAGATGTATTACTTATGGTGGTGCTTTTTGAGGCCCAGGACCTCTTGACACGTTGAAGTTAATGCTTCTTTGATACCTTTTCAGTTGTCCTCTATAGTAGTTTCTTCTCCTTCAGTAGATTCTGTAAGGCTTGGAACCTGTTGTTGAGAGCTATCTTGAATCCATTGAATTTGTCAGTATCTCGAAGGAAGGCTGTATTGAACCTTGTTAATGCTGTTTTTCCAGTTGTCCAGTTTTCTTTAGCTTCAGTTTTAAATTGGCCACAACTAGGTGGTGATCTCAAGCTACGTCACTTCCTCTGCTGGTTCTCACATCTTCCATTGTCCTTCGGAATTTTTTGTTGATGCAAATATGATCCATTTGGTTCTCTGTAGTGTAGTCCGGTGAGATCTATGTAGCTTTGTGTATACATTTGTGTGGAAATATTGTGCGTCCTATGACCAATTTGTTAAAAGCACACAGATTTGCAAATCTTTCCCCATTTTCGTTTCTCTCTGCCAGTCCATGTCGTTCCATGATATCTTAATGTTCGGTGTTGTCTATTCCAGCTTTGGCATTTAGATCTCCCATCAGAATAGTGAGGTCTTTTATTGAGCACTTCTCTATGATTGATTGTAGCCGCTCATAGGATCGATCTTTAATGTCGTCATTGCTATCATTGGTGGGTGCATAACACTGGATAACATTCACTGTAATTACCTCCCTTGTTTTGAATGATGCTTTGATGATTCTGGATCCGTGAAGTTTTCATCCTACAAGTGCATTTCGTGCTACTTTGGACAGGATTAGAGCAACTCCGGGAGTGTGTGGAGCATTTTCCTCTTCGTGGCCGGAGTAAAGCAGCATCTCCTGTATTTAACCTTTGTTGTCCAGCTTGAGTCCAGTGGGTTTCGCTGATTCAGAGTACTGCCAAGTTGTATCTCCTCATTTCCGTCGCTATTTGACTGGTTTTCCCGGTCTTCCACATTGTGCGGACGTTCCATCTACCTATAAAAATTGTTGCTCTGATTGTTAGAAGGGTCATCAGTCTCGTGACTTCCGAAGGAACTCAGCTTTCATCATGAGGCATCATAGTTCTTGTAAATGAAGGCCTTCTATTTCCCAAGACAGAGTTTAAATAGTTTGAGTTCTTTTTTTCTAGTTAGCGTTTTTTAGCGAGTTAGTTTT